GAAGAGCGGGGTCAGGACTGGCCCGGCCCCTCTGGCTCACAGCTCCCCACTTGTCATCCGTCTTCTCTCCTGAGTCCCCAACATCACACATCTCCCTCCCTCTCCGGCCCGAGCTTCGTCCTTTTCACAAAATCGCTCTTGTCTTCTACGAGTCCCGAGTTCTCATCTTGCCAGAGCAGGGGGATGAGATGGCAGCAGAGGCAAGGGCACGGGATGGAACTATAAGATTCTCGGTTCACGTGGGACCTCAAGGTCCCTGGAGACCCACACGATCTAGAGCCTCAAGGCCACAGGCAGGGTTCAGGCCGTGTCCTCTGTCCCTTCCCCCTCCTGCTGGCCTGCCTCCCTGCTGCTCTTCCTTGTTTTATTTATTTTAAACTGCGTCAGAATACACATATCATAAAATTTACTATCTTAGCCAGTTTTACGTGTACAGCTTAGTGACAATAAGTATATGCATTCACATTGTTGTACAGCCATAACCACCATCCATCTCCCAAACTCTTTTCGTCTTTCCCAACTGAAACTCTGCACCCATTAAACCCTAATTCCCCCTTCTCTCGTGCTCCAGCAACCACTATTCTACCTTCTGTCTCTGTGAATGTGACTACCCTGGGTACCTCATGTGAGTGGAATCCTGTGGTGTTTGTCCTATAGTGACTGGCTTATTTCACTCAGCATAATGTTTTCAAGATTCACCCATGACTTAGCGTGTGTTTAAATTCTCTTCCTTTTTAAGGCTGAATCATATTCCATTGCATGTGTATATCACATTTTGCTTATCCATTCATCTGCGATGGCACCTCCGTTGCTTCCACCTTTCGGCTGTTGTGAGTCCCGCTGCCCTGAGCATATGGGCATCGAGTATCTCTTCGAGACCCTGCTTTCGGTTCTTTTGGATGCCAACTCAGAAGTGGAATTGCTGGGTCTGCTGCTCCCTGTCTAGCCGTTCTTCAGGATAAAGGCGTGGATAGCCTGGGGGAGGGAGGGCATTCGTTTAATGGGCCTGGGGTGCTTCCCTAAAGCAAGGCTACAGGGTAATCGGGAAGAACAGAGGAGAGACCGCCCAAATCATGGACTCAGGACTGGTTAGAGCTGAATGGGTCCTTGGATGCTACCCAGTTGACGGATGAGGTAGCTGAGTCTCAAAGTGGGGATTGATGCGTGATGAGCTCAGGGTTCCACAGCTCGTCAGAAGCTCAGCGGCCCTAGAGCTCTTCTCTCTCCGGCTTTCAGTGACCGAGGGGCTCATGTTTGTTTTCAGACCCCGGGAGGGACAGCCGCCGGGTGCCTGATTGCCTGGGGCCCCTCCCATCTGCCCTTCCCCTGGCCTCCTTTCTGCCTTACTTTGCTGAGGAAGAGGGCTGAGGTCAGGGGGGCCCCTGAGAGTCAGCAGTGAGCCCACGGGGCAGCGTCCTCACGAAGGATGTGTGAGCCGTGCTTTTGTCCGTCGACCTGCCCAGAAACCGTCTGTCTGGTGGGCATGCCCCAAACAGTGCCACAGCGGGAGGAATCTGGGGCTGGTGGGACCTGCCTGGCCCGGGGCCTCACTCCTTCCCAGGCCAAGGCTCTCTTCCACGCAGCTCCTGTGAATCCAGCCACACACCAGCTCCCACCTCCCAGCAGGGCAGAGCACCGTGCTCCTTATTTGACCCCATTCTCCCCCCAGCCCTCCCTGGATAGAGCTGATTGCCCCAGCGAAAAGGGGCCCAGTGATTCATTTCCTCCATGCCCGAATGTGTTCAGGGGCCCCCCTTGGCTCGGGGACGAGCAGCTGGAGGGGACTCAGAGTGTACCTGCTCTGAGGGGCATGTTCTTGGGGGCCGGCCATCCCCAGAGCTCAGTCAGAAGCTTCTGGATTTCAAAGGTCTCTGGGGCTCATTTCAGAACATTCCCAGATGCCTTACGGAAGGTCCTCCCACCCCTTCCAGACTCACATTCCAGAGCCTCGGCCCAGGGCTTTGTGTCGCTGTGTAGCTGCTCGCTTGGGCACCTCTGTCCCAGCTCTTGGCAGCCTGGAACTGAGGCAAAGCGGTCTTCAGCCCAAAGTGGGACAGGACGCCCAGCCAGCAGGGTCAGTCTGCTAGGGGAGGAGGGTGCTGAGACGGGACCGCCGGGAGTCTGGACCAGAGGGTCTGGAGCTCATTGAAAAAGAAGCTGACGAGGGCAGGGGACAAGCTCTGTGAGGACGGGCCTCAAGGTGGTGATGCCGGGACCCGGGTGGCTCAGTCTCACTGCCGCCTCCACGGTGGTCGGGGGTGGGCAGCAGCGCCGAGGGCCGTGCGTGGGGAGTCCTGGGGAGGGTGGAGTCTGAGAACATCTGGGTGATACCGGGGCTCCCGCACCTTCGGCTTCCCGCTGCCCGACCTGAGCCTCACTGTCTGTCCCCAGGACTGCCCGCAGCTGCTGCGAGTAGACAAGATCCTGGTGCCCGTGGAGGTGATCAAGCCCATCACTCTCAAGGCCAAGAACCTCCCCCAGCCGCAGTCGGGGCAGCGTGGGTACGAGTGCATCCTCAGCATCCAGGGCAGCGAGCAGAGGGTGCCCGCCCTGCGCTTCAACAGCTCCAGCGTGCAGTGCCAGAACACCTCTGTAAGTGCCCGCCCCGTGTCCCCC